GGTCCCTTACCGCTAAGCTGTGAAATAGAGGGATACTTTAGGCTTTCCATAACCTCTCTGGATATAAGAAAAGGAGTTAAGGCTGATTTCAGCTCTTACCTCTGCCTGTGCATTGGATAAAAGTGCTTTCTTACTTATTCCTTTCAAGATAAATAGTTTTTGGTGACTGTGTTTCTTTGTCTCTCTCAGTGCAAGGAATGCGTGAGTTGGACTCTTTTCCAATGCGTATGGCGATAATTATCTGTACTGCTGTCATTACTACTTACATCCTATTTGTTACCAATGCACCTGCTATTGTGGCATCAAATATGAATCTTCTTTGGCACAGCTTCTTTTAGACTCATCAATTAAATCTTTGAATGTCAGACCTCGTTTAAACCCGACACAGTCTGCTAGCTGGTCTTATATGACCAAACACTGGCATTTGCAGCTCTCCTTGGCTTACTTTAAAATTGAAATGGTTACTCTTTAAGGTCTAGGCAGACAGGATTTTTCCAAAGACCTCCGTAGATTTTTTGATGAGTTTAACTTCACGTTCATTGCACTATAATCGGTACATCTTAGATGGGGTGTTGTGCTGCTACAGTTTAAGATGAGCGCAATCAACAAAAAATAAAGTAAGAGCAGAAGCCCACATATTAATGGAAAGAGAGAGAGAGCGACAGTAGAAAAAGTACAATCCTGAAGCTATGACAACTCCACAACTTGTTCAGCACACAGCTCTCAGCAGAGCCACCCACCCAGACTGTAACAACAAAATTCCACCCACTGAGTAAAATAACTTCTAAGTTCGTCATGGTCCAAATGCCTTTTCTTCAGGCTATTCTTCAGGAGAGGAGCGTAGATCACAGGGCCTTAATATACAGTAACATTTCTGTCCGAGTTTGGGGAACTGTCAGCAAAAGAAAAATGAAACAGACCTGATAGTATGATCAAAAATACTAGAAACTAAAAAAGTAGAAAGCTGTGTCAAGTTGATTTTACAAAACAGTCAGCAATCTGAGGAGTATTGACTTTTTTTATATTTTGTGAACAATGCAGAATGTCTCGTTGCATTTTCTTTGGGTCATATGGAGCTGTCAATGTTCCCAATGTTCTGCTGACATAAAATACTATATAATGTACAATGTAATAAACTCTCCAACACTACAGTATCTTTGTCTGTCTCCGGTCAAACATCAACATAATTGAGTATTTTCCGGTTCTATTAGGCAAGTGGACAGTGATAAGAGCAGCTTTTACTTGGGCAAAAAATAAAAACTTTTTGGATACAAGCTATATTCAGTGAATGCATTATTCAACATGTCTTACACAGAATATTTTTCTTCATGTTTGATTTGCAACATCTGTCATCTCTGGAATAATCTCCGACCCGTTTGAAGGCCCTTCAAGTGAGAAATGTCAGTTAAAGAGAAAATGGTCCCAAAATGGCAACGTTTTGAAATTTTAACGCTTTGAGATCAAATGGCAAAATTTATATTTTTCCGCTTCTTTGCATCTCTAATATGAAGTCTATGTGTGTGTGTGTGTGTGTGTGTTTGTAAGAGAGAGAGAGACAGAAGACTAACTCCGCCTGAGCAAATTTTGACTCATGGTTATGGTCCAATTTCCAAATACTAATACTTTTATTAATATTATATTAATTCACTCATTATTTCATGCTACGTCTGCCTACAACATGTATGATCAGTGGCAAGAAACACAGATGGACAAGACAATGTTGTTTTTATAACACACCGTCCTATAAATACCATTAAATGTTTTCTTACAAATGAAAGAATATGAAAAGGCTGTGCCTCTATCAAGTCACATTCTCTTTGGTTTAAGCTCTCCTCAAATCCCACTGTAATAAACCAGCAAGAATAAACACTGACAATGCAGAATTCAAAAACTACTACTGATAACCTGGTTACAGCCTTGTAATAATTTGTTGTTAGAATATGAATATGTATGACTGTATACTGATGTTATAGGATTATGTACTGTAGTCCCTGTTTATACGCTTCGTCTCTCAGTAACTAACAGGCATATTTCACCCATGAAAAAACCTCCCAGCAACAATGCAATTTTCATTTTCTTAAACTCATCGAGTTATTGGCCCTTTATGAGCTGAGTAAGTCCAGGAAAGCCATTCATAATTCATGACAAGCAATATTTGTAATAAGACAATGGTCTTAGGGCAAGAAAGCCACTTTGCTCCTCTGACTACAGTGGGTGGAATAGGGAGATGCATGTGCCAGCAATGAGCCTTGTTGGCAGTGGATGGTACACCCATATGCACTAAACTGAAAAAAGGCAGCAGAGCAAGTAAATGTTAAATAATGCAGAACAGTGACTGAGCATGTTGGCTGTGAGTGTATATCCGTGTGCTTTTGTGGTAAAATGCATGGATGTGCATGGTGGAAGACATTCTACTGAGAATCCAGCAGATATTTCCTGCTGAGCTCACATCACAACAAGAACATGAAAGCCACAAATTACAGAAGAGCAAGGACAGAGACTCATATCAAAGTCACAATAATGAAGAGATGAGCCAAGAAGCTCATGATAACGCGCATCTCTCCTCAAGGTTTGGCTCAAAACCAGTCTTTCTCAGATTTACAGATTTGCATGTGTGGTCTATATGTGCAACCATCAACTGACATAAGACTCTCTGTCGTTAACCTATAAGACCAACATCTCATGGCCTGCATCAATGTGGGGGCAGTTGAACAAATTACAGTACATGCTTGAGCACCACATTTACTTCCTTTAGATCTTCCTTAATGCACTGAATTACTTAACATCCCTCCTGTATTAGTTCCTGTTTGTTTAAGTGCTTTGTTTGGAGAGTGAGGACAATTACAGAGACACAAAACCTTCTTGCTCAAGGTTAAGAGATGTTACATTTAGGCACTTTCTTGCACTCTCTTAATTGCCTTCCATCTTCTAATCACTCTCGAGGCCTGCCATATCTCCAATCTCCCTTTTTTCTCCTTCCACCAAGTCTCTACATTTTGGAACAGCTTCCAGTTTAGATATAACATCAGGGCCTAATGCATCTGGATGGGAGGTGCTTTCGGTGACAAATGACATCACAAATAACTCTGATAGAGAAAAGACAAGGTCCAAGTCATCTCTCTCTGTCTCCACATGTCTCCCTGCCTGTCTGTGTCTGTCTTTCAGTCCTTGTCTCTCTCCCTTACCCCTACTCACCATCTTGCTAGAGAGAGAGAGAGAAAGAGAGAGATGTGATCATAAATCTTAACCAGCAATCTTTACCATCTCCTGACATTTCATCTCAGAAACCTCTCACCACTTAATGTCTGACTAAATTAGATTAAACGACTGCTTTGTCAACCTTCCCGGAGAGGAGAGAGAGAGAGAGCGGCTCTGGAAAACTAATTTGGGTTCCACTCACACACTAAAATGGAGGCTGACACTTCCATATTGTATAATGTTAAAGCTTAAGCAATTTCCCACACCTACTGCAGATCAGATCTCATTGAACGAATGGCCAAGTGATAATAGAGACGCATTTGTTCATCAATTTCCAAGGGATATAACCATGTTGCTGTGCTGCTGCTGAATGTGTGAAGAGGTAGTTGACCTAACCTTCAGTAACAAAAGGTTCATTGTTGTGAGTTTGTGTTGAAGTCTGTCTGCTCTCTAGTGGTGAAAAATCACTTAACGATGGCTTAAACATTTCCTTAAAGCATTCCAAGAGAGTGAAACCTTGAGGCACATTATCGTCGTCCTCTGGCCGGCACAGTGTACTGACTTCAGTGTTTTTCCATGCAACACTTACATCGCTAAGACTACAAACACACAGGAACCTGCTCATACACAAATACTGACGCATACACTTTCAAAGACACATAATAACACCCCATCTTGCACCCCCCTCCCTGTCACGCCTCCAGCAAAATTAGATTGTGATTGCTCTTTCTGAGGTCACTTTTAATTAAACTGAGATGAGAACATGACACATGGGATTAAGCCCCATCCTATCACTTCAAATTATAAATTCATAACTAATGCTAGAGCCTATTGCTTTCAACCATGACCTCCATATCATTTATGTATAAGAGCAAAAGGAACTCCACTAATTGTCTTCTTCTGCAGAGATAAGGAGCATGACAGGAGGGGGTGGGGAAGTGTGTGTGTGTGTGTGTGTGTGTGTGTGTATGTGGGAAGGGAGTAGTTAAACACACATATTCTAAAATAAATATAATGTTTCAATGTAAGTTGTGCTGTATACCATCAAGACTGACGACACTGATTGACTCTAGCTTGCTCTCTCGCAGGATTTAGATCAGACATGCTAACCTCTCAATAAATAGGGCTGCGAGAGTTTTTTAAAGCTACTAAGATGAACTTTAATCTTGTGTTGATTTTGGCGGTCCCTGTGGACAAAAGCGGATAGACCTTTAGATAAATTCTTATTTTACTGCAGCAGGGTCCGACACTCAGTCCTGGTTCTGGTTCTCCCGTGCCTTCAGCATGCCGAACAATACGGCCTTGGCCTGCAGCAGCGTGGTGTCTGGGTTGGCTTTCAGCGAAGCAGAGAGGCGAAGCTCTACTCCTGGCAGGATGTGAAGCGGCTTTTGCCGGACGTGGAACTCTCCACCGCCCGCCAGAGCTCGGACCGCAGATCGAAGGCGGCAGTGAAGCAAGATCTGTGTCTGTCTGCTGAGGGCTGGTCGCTGCTGGAGGACCCGGTGGAGTCTGAGCTGAAGGATTTTCTGGTGAACCTACATGATTTCATGTGATTTTGCAAGTCTAACCCAGTGGCACCGATGATGAGCATTAAGAATAACTATATACAAACAGTCATTTTGCTGATGGTCTTGTTTCCTTATGTAGGTCATATAGAGGCATCAGCACTAAACTGAGACTGTTTAACCAGCTCCTTACCGTATCTTTAAATGAAAAATATCGGGTGAGAAAAGCTTGAACTACGGTTACTGTTACTTTCCCCATTACACAGAAAACTTGGGAACAAAAAACACCCTCCTTACCTCAGTGATAAAAGCCTTGGCAGTGGCCGGGCTCATGAACAGCACGGCTCTGCGTAGTGTATCCCTGTAGCGATGCAGCTCTTCCACGCGCAATGTTCTGAACAGACTTGTGATCATCATGTTGATATTGGATTCCACCTTCTGAAGGGAAACGTCCATTCCCTGCTGAGAGGTCCGGTCCAGGAAATCCTCAATACCACGGATATCTATGAAAAAGGGAGGTAGAGTTAAACATGTGTCTCTATATGAAAGTGTTTTGAAAAAAAAACAAGGAAAGGTAGAGAGACATACAGACATACACCTGCTCCCACACAAACATTGAGAACATCACTGATCACTTGACACCATATTCACTGCTGTAGGTGATGAAGAGGTTCAGTAAATATCTCAATTCATGAGCTCCTACTGGCAGTGATTCTTGGCTATCAGTGCATTTGTATTACTCAAATGCTATCCTTTGTATTAATCTGAGCTTAGGCTTTGGTTGTCAGCACTATGCCCCCGTCAGTGCTGAATGCTTTTGTCTTCTAGAAACTTAAATATACAAAGCATTCTGTAGACTCTTACAAACACAGACATGAAAACAAAAGCATATGTTGGTGACTCATCCAAAATAAGAGGCATGTTTTTTGCCCTTTAGGTCGATTGATGTAGATACTGAGGTCTATTGATATTGATAGACAACACTATCAATAACAAAGGACAAATTCACTACCACTGTATTTACCTTGAGTGTGATTAATTGGCAGTAAAGTGATAGATGGCATATTAAAAAAATACCTTTTAACTTGCAAACTGCAAAAGTATTCATTGAACCCAAATTTTCGTTTCCCTTTGTTATTGAGCAGTACCGAGGTACTTGGACTAAGGCGGCGTGCTGTGGTCCGACGTGCGGCTGTATTCCGCTCACCCTGGTATGGGCAACGATTGCTGCAATGGCTGCACAGCATGGAGGATGCTCCCACTGTAAGATAAATCAGTAGTGTAGCAAACTAGTGTAAAATCTGATTTTTTGAATCAGCAGCCGCCACTGGCGTGCATGTATAGGTTTCTAACCTAAGCCAAACATATGACTGTAAATCTTTGACCATGTCTGTCCCAATTCATGTACACGTGTGTGTACAATTGTATTGAGTACGCAGTATGAGTATTTCCATGTATGCGTGTTGTTTTCTGGTTGGTGTTAACAGGGACATACATAAGAACAACAAGCACAAGTGAACACATTTTAACTTTTTCTAGTGGCACCGAACTTTTTTGAATGAAATTGAACACAACTTCTTTGTGTATGATCAAGTGGCAAATAGCTGTAAGGCTGCAGATTGCAACAAACTGAATACCCCTCTGCTCACCCCTTAATGTCGAAGAACTATGGTGGCCTTCAAGTAACATACAAATGCAAAAGGCCCTCTAGAGCCAGTGTTTGGTTTGTCCGTTCTGAGCTACTGTAGAAACATGGCAGTGCAACACGGCAGACTTCTTGAAGTGGCGCTCTCTATGTAGATATGAAGGTCTCATTCTAAGCTATCAAAAATACAACGATTCTTAGTTTTAGGTCTTTGTGCATAAATAACAACATAGCTATACATTCTTTATTCCATTTCTGCCAATAAGCCAATTTAAATCCATTTAGGTCCTTTAATTCCCACTTGTCATTGGTGAAGCTGGTATCTCGTGAGGTCTCTGGTCTGTGACCTGTCATCGTCTTTTCTTTTAAAAAAGTTCTTCCTTTTGCTTAAATCCTTCAAAAACATAAGATTGCTATTTCTGCTATGCTGATGACACCCAGCTTCATTACTGCTAAATCAAAATGATAATTGAAGATGAAAAAGTAATATTGATGTTTATGTTCCCTAATGGCTAAACAACCTTGACCAGTTCACTGAATACATGTAAGCATCTGTATTGTAAAATTCAGAAATGCAAGAAAGGAGTGTGTACGAATGTTCTTAAATCTAGATCTCATATTGGTCAACCAGATGTGACGCATTTTAACTTTTAATATTTCTCCCAATCCAGATTGTTTTCAGTCTTGTATGGATTCTTTAATACTGTAGTTATGTGACAGAAAAAAGCAAGAACTTTCCTTTATCAATTGAACTTCAATTAGACAGGAACAGGGATTTGTTGTTGAATATCTATCTAGTATCTGTGCTGTTACAGTAGAACAGGGCCAAAAGTGTCCCATATTTGCTGAAGCCACTATACAGTACATGCATATTCCTACCGGGACACTAAGAGAACAAATAACTCGTCAAGAGTTTTAGATAAAAGCACCAAGCCACTGTAATTATCTATTTTAAGAGTTATTTCTGTATGATAAAAAACCACAATGCTTGTGTCAGTAATGCTACTGCCTGGACTCCTTTATTCTTAATGAGTTACATTGCAGGTCAAGGTAATCCTAATTAAGGCACTTTGGTTGAGACCACTGCTAATGATCGGATGATGTGTGTGTGTGTGTGAGTGTGTGTGAGTGTGGTTATGTAAAGTGGTTATGTAAAGCAACTACCTAATGATGTATTTGATATGGAAAACGGATGACACTGTCGTCATTGCCAGTGTCTTGACTGAGCAATTAACAGGATTGATTAGACTTGTTAAGGGGCCACAGGGCTGAGGCGATGGTGTGATTGCATCAATGCCGGATTTTGGAGGTTTAACAACGTATTAAGGAGAGAGACAGCATGCAACAGCATTGATTTAGACGGAGATTCATTTAGAAAGAAGACAAAAAAAAATCCTGTGCACACAGAGCACAGAAGGTTAAGCGAGGACAGTGTGGGAGACATTCCGAAAAGTTTGTGTGCGTCAGATGTCACGTCGACACCTTTTCCCTCACTGAGAGGATTAAAGAGGGAATGTTGTCAGTCTTTCAGCACGAGGAAGACCGTGACAGCAAAGTTATTAGTGTCTTGCAACTTCTTTTCTTTTACACTTTCCTCTCCCAAACATATACACAGCGACACATACATACAATACACACATGCAGCAATCCAGAGGACAGCAGCTGGGCACCAAATCTGTTTAAGACGGGGTTGTAAATTGATACAGACTCGAGTGTCTGTCTGTGCATACGTGTGCATTCAGAGGCACAACATATGAGTGAGTGCATCATTTTAACTTGATAAAAAAATGATCATTCATTTTTCAGTGTATCCATATCGCTCTCGGTTTGTCTAATAATCGCGACGTTGTTGTATTTGGTTTGTTTGTCTGATAAGAGAGGTAGATGAGCAAACAGAGACTATGAGATGGCATATTTAATGGCCAAACAACACAGCTCTAATCGGTGCAGGAGCACAGAGTTATCAAGCCATTCAGATCTAATTACTATTATTAATTAGCAGAAATAATTACTGTTTAACTATATTATCATTGGCAATGCCATCATCATCACTAGGGCTGTGACTCCTAATGAGCTACATAACATGAATCAGTTGTAAAAAAAGTAATAAAAAAGGCTGAGCGGCTCACAGTTTAATCAGTGGCCCCGACGTGCCAAACTATGATGCTTTGGGTATCCCCCTCTAGCACCAGTTTTCCACGTTTCATAACATAATGGTGGTATGGGTTAAGAAAAGTATGTTAAGTAATTAAAACATGTGACAGTATGTTAAGTAGGCAGCGTTAGAAATCCGTTGTGGTAACGTTAGGTAAACTAAATAACCTCCGTCAAGGTACGTAGCAACGATACGTAACTTGAAATAAGTCAACATTGATTTTTGGTTTGACATGGGACACAAACACCGCTCTCCTAGAGGAAAATCCTGTGTTTGTTTGACCCATCCATCACCCCAGACCGCCACCCCAAGCGGAATTTGTCGCTCTTTATGCTACATAACCTGACTTTGTCCTTAACTCCTCTATTGCTACGGCGTCGTATTTTGCCAATTTGACGAGTTGAAGGTAAGAAGGGGTTGAAAAAGCAGTTGAAAATGCAGATGCAGACATCCTCATTTACTTACAGCTGTAGGAGCAAACATCACTCTTCATACAGTAGATATTAAACTGAGGTTTAATGAGGCTGTGGTTTTTTATAACCCACAAAAACAATACAATGTCTGTGCTTCAGTATACCATGACTCTGTCTTTCATCCCAATAAAAGCTAAATCACATTCACTTTCCTATACTCATCAATAAACACCAAAGCAAATATGTATGGTTGCTTAATCACAGTACACATAGACTTTTACCAGTCAAAACAGATTCAAGCCTAGTTCATAAATCTCCATATCTATCAAAGCATCGTCACTGCCATTCATAGTCAATGGTGCCATGCTACGTAAACATTTTACACCATCTCTGACGAAGACAGTGTGTCTGATTTATGTTCGCTATGCTTAGAAAGCTTTATAAATCAACGGATTTAAAAAGCTTTCTTCAACAGAGCAAGAATAAGAACCCAAAGAGTAGAAAACTCGGTTGCTTATTCTCATGCATATTGTGCTTGTTCCTATTTGCATTTAACATTACAAAATAATTTGTGCCACTCCAGTTTTCCCTCAATATGTTTTTATAAATTGGCCTATGTGTCTGTAAATGTTGTCCTTGCTTTATGTCATGTCTGCCTATTCTAGTGACTGTATTACAGGCCTCTTTGTCACCTTATACCTGTCTGTCCACCTGTCAGCCATTCTCCCTGTCTGCTTAGCTGCTGATTGACTAGAGGGTCGCTCTGGCTTTATTTGCACTCATCAATTCTTTCTCCATACTGGCTTATAGTCCAGGTTGTACAGCATGTCTAAGACATTTGCCTTGCTCCAATCTGTGAGGAGCTTAAAAAACAAACCCACCTGTCTCCCCAAATACAGCTCATCACGCTCACTAGATTAAACAGTTAAAAATGTATTCGTAAACGTGTGCAAGCCGTGATCTTTGACTTGGTTAAAGATAATGTGGAACATGCTCAGATGTATTTAGGCTATAAACCGTCGTTGATGAATAACGTAACACCCACCCACCAATCACACATATAATGAAAGTGTAAAACAAAAGGGTAATTAATTACAATAGATAGGCAATGTTGCTAGGCAATGTTGCCCATAGCAATGTAGAAAAGTGAAAACATGTAGAAAGGTTCAGCTACAGGTGAGATATTCAGTATTGGAATGTTTTATGACAACCACTAGGGAAAAAAAAGAAAAAGTAATTGACTTTCAAACGTGGACATATTCTGGTCCAATTTTACACATTACCAGTCAA